ACATGACTTATTTCTCCCTATTTTTCCCCATCTTTGCCCTTTCCTTAGAAGGTTTTGAGACAAAAATGGCATTAGGGCTGAAACTCCTGCTCCAAGAACAAATATCTGCTGGAAAGGGAGAGGGCATTTATTATAAACTGTCCTAGTTCTATTATGTAAAAGAACTTGGACAGTGGTCCCAAGATCTTTTCCACTTCCCTTTGTGTGGAAAAGAGGAAAGGGACTAGGTGGCTCAGAAGTTGGTCCATGCAGACAGCAATGGGAACCCTCATTTATTCCTTGAGGAAATATGCATTGAGCACCCACTGTGAAACGGGCCACATGATGCAATGATAAGCAGGACAGATGAAGCCGCTGCCCTCGGAGCCTTAAGATCCGTATAGCTCTAAACAGGCATACTAGGGACTTTTTTTTTTCTAAATTTTGCCTTCACAAATCATGAAGTTGCTCAAAAAATATGATGCAATCTAGTTAATAATCATCCTCTTGTTACTTTTTTTGAATGAAAATCCCCGATTCGCGATTCCCTTTTCTTTATGTAAAAGAGAGATTACATACTTAAAGTCTCACAAATATTCAGCACATATTTGCAGGGATCCAGCTCCAGGAAATACATTTTGCAAAACGACACTTCTCAGCACAGCACACGGGTTTGCTTATGCTTTGCATAAGGATTGCCAAGAGGAAGCTAATTAATATGCTAAATGCTCACTCCTATTTATAGACACTGGCCCAAGTTTGGTTTTCAGTTAACATGTACAGAGAACTCTGACATATTTATCCTCTCTTTTCCACTTTTAGTACCTCTTCAAGCAAACTTCTAAATTTTTTTGCTTATATTTTTATGATACTGGACACATAAAGGGTACTTATTTCAGCCTTTTGTATATATTTCTTTTCCTGATCTTTGAGGGAGAAGTAAAAATGATTTTAAGCAGTATTTCTAAGTGATAAAAATCTGCAGGCACATAATTGTTGCTTATGTTGACTAACGTGATATTTTATACTATCTCAATCTTGAATGTATTGGTTTCTAACCCCTCTATCAGCATTAGCATTGACTTTTGATAGGTAATGGCAAATGCACTTAGGCAGTTGCAAACATGTCTTTATTAGGAGTTGGGCAAAAAGATCTCCATATTTCTCAAAACCTTTCCCTTTAAATTATTTCTAGTAGAGGCTGGATTTGAGATCTGCCTCTGACTTGCTAAGGGCTATTTATGATTTATTTCAACCTTTGGCTGGCTCTAGGGGGGTAAAAATGAACAAAGTTGAAACTAAAAAGAAGAGTTTAGTCCTTAGTGAAATTCCCGTGGCATGGAACACCCTAACTCTTATGATGGGTGTATTGTTTAAATTTTTATATGTTTACTTTTTTTCTCAAAAATAAAATTAAACTCATTTATCATTTTTAATTAGAGAAAAAGTGCCATCATTTTTTAAAGAGAACAAATTTCAAGCTGTGAGTCTTTTAATATAGACTGGTCCTCTGAGAATTTTCTGAAGCACTATGGGGAAATTTTAAACCCAGTCAAATATTTTTCTTAGGAAAAGTAGTGATAGGTCATGGTGAGATATGGGCATCATTAAATTTTCATAGAGGTTCCTAACACACTGGAGTCACTGTAACATGGACACATTGACTACCATATCTCTAAAGAAGCATTTGCTTTTCCACCAGGGCTCTGAAGGGAGCTGTTAACAGTCTATCAATGAAATAATCTGCATGTTAAAAAGTCCCTAAATATGTATTTACATGATAGTCAGCTGTTTTGGTCTATTGGGTTAATCCACGTGCTAACAGTCTGTATATATGTCCTCACAAGATATACAGATCAGCTTCGGTTCACTGAGTCTATAGTAAGTAGGTCTTTAAAAAGCCACCGAAATAGTCGCATAGTTTGTATTTTAGCAAGTTCAGAAATTCTATATATTATATAATCTATATACTATACTATATACTATATATTATATTTCTTTTAAAGTGTGGATATATTATTTTTGTTCCAGTGGATGTCAGAAGGTGTTCACTCTGACCTGTAATACTTTGCTCTTAAAATGTCAGAAGAAAATTGCCATAGCATAAACTATATTAAAGCTCTGTGGCACAGTCCTCCAGGCCCAGGTGGATGCTTCCTAGTCTATGTCGTACTCCATCCACCATCACCATCCAGGTCCAATTCCCCACGCCCTCTCAGCTGACTTTGCTTCCTTCTTGTCAGTCTCAGCCCAGCAGCCGGAGTGATCCTCTTATGTTCCTTTGTTCCAGCAACTTCCCATCTCATAGTCAAAGCAATTTCCTATATCATAGTTAAAACCAAAGGCTCCACAAGATATGCCCTCACCTCTCTCTGGCTTCACCTCTTCCACTCTCTCACCAGCCTCTTTGCTACTCCTCATCCACCCCAGCATACTCCTGATTCAAGCCCTGGGCACTTGCCCTGCCTTCTTTCTGAAAATCTCCTTTCACACAGCTAGGTCGCTTATATTCTTTAGTTCTCTTGTGACAGAAGACTCATGATGACCCTGTCATAAGACAGTAACATCCTGTCCAACACCACCCTTACTGTTCTCCATTAGTACTTCTCACCATGGAACAGAGGATGTCTTTACTTGTTTGTTCATTGTTGACCTTCTCCTAAAACCTCCTTCCACTGGCACAAGAGCTTCCTAATCCCATGCCTAGATAACAGCCTGGTATATTTTAAGTACTCATTAAGTATTTATGGTACAAATGAATGAAAGCAGATGAAAGAGCAGTCTTCTTTCTACTTCCTGGATTGCCTGGTTGTGCTCATGTTTAGGTTGAAGAGGAATGAGTATGTCTCTTTCTGAGCTGTTGCCTTCTTCTTGGCCATTAGACCTAGTTCCCTGTAATATTCTCTCAGCGACACAAACTAGTACTTCCTTAAGGTGCTCAGCCATACCATTTCTAGAGCTATAGGGTTATGATGAAGCTCCTAGAGGAGGTAGGGTCATCTCAGCTGGGCACGGAAACATCAGATCGGTCTGCTTCTAGGTGCAACAGTAAAAGTGCAAAACAAAGACAGAATTAGCATTTCTAAATCTCTTCACTGAATGAGCCAAATGATGTTCCCCACAGGCTCCAATGATGGCAGTGGACTGACTAGATTTTGCATCCCTTGCAGCCACAAGGGACAGGACGTGCCATTCTATGTGTGTGTCACGTAAGGGTAACAGACTGAGGAGTACTGGGCAGAACCATCATTCTCTCCTGAATCTGGTAATTTTTTCTGGAGGTATTCTCCTGTGCCTTCACTCCCACCTTTAACCATGTATGTTGTTCTCAAATGCATTCTTTCTAATGATTGAAAACTGTCATAGCAACTCCTTCCTTATTTGAATTTCACAGGAATATTCTTTATTTCAGTCACTCAGAAAGGGGCCTATGGCAACAGAATCACAGCTGACAGCAAATTAATGACTATGATGCTATGATTAGTTGAGATTACAGGCTACAAAGAGCTTGTCTGAGAATTCACTGTCATCATCCTGATACTGGCTTCTGCTGGGGATTAATATTGGTCAGAAAAGAGGATGTGGTTCAGCTACAGTAAGCTCCATAGAAATGTAAGGAAATCTGTCTGTATTATAATATTTCAATGACATGCTAATTAATTAAAAGGACTTTTACTGTTAACTTGCTTTGCTTAAGCAAGTCTGTCTCTTATGCCCTCCCCAGCACACTGACTTATTTTAATAAAGCTTTAAGGCATGATCCAGATAAAAAGTTGAAGTGATCTAGATAATTCCACTCTCCAAACTGAAAGTATTCATAAACTAAAAGGAAAATGTAAGACTCCTGAATTATCTGGATAAGTCACTCATTTTATAATTTATTTTACATGAATAGACAAAGCAATGGATACTGCAATGTATGCCAAGGGTTGAGTAGATTTAGAAAATAAAACTTTTCAATCAACTTAATAAAGAGGAGATAAAAATTTAACATGAACAACACAAGAATGACAAAACCATCTACTCAGTTACCAGGTATCATTTCACATCCTTCTAAATTTTGGCTGCAAAGAAATAATGATTTCTGTAATCCCCAGCAATGACTTTTGTGGGGAGAAGATTTCAAACAAATGTCTATTTGCTTTAGGTGAGTTTCCTTATTTGATTTCAGATCCTCCTAAGGGAAGAGATTTCAGGATTTCCTGCTTGTAAAGTGGAAAAGAACACTTCGCTGAACTTGTCTGACATCATGTGAAACATTAAAAGGGCAGGTAATCATGAGTTCTCTGCCTGTTGACCAAAGCTTCTTTACTTCCTTAATCTATTTCATTTTTAAATGTCAGAGTAGGCTGAAACCTTTCAAAGATGTACAGGCTGCAGAAGCAGAGGAAATATTAGGATAAATTCTTTAACTTTTGTGAGAGCTTTTAAATAATTAATGGATGGAATTTTTGAATTCTTATGTATCACAGTACAGAAATCCTAATGTTAGACCATGTTTAAAATAAATATGGTTTAACAACAAAGGGCACAAGGCCATCTCTATTTCTAGGAAGTCTGTGAAATGGATGTTTAGAGTACACGCCATAGGCACAAAGAGAATATTTCATTTCCAAAGAATATAATAAAATCTAGTTTATCAATGAAAATTAGAATATTATAAACAAATGAAAATAGCGAGTAAAATCTTAGTTTTAAATATAATTTATTTTTCAAACTCTACTTGGAAGTCCACATATGTTACAGAACAAATTTTTTAAAAGTACCTGTTGTAATATTATTTATTAAAAAGCAACAAAAATGTGAGCACATTATATTCAAGCTTATACTATAAAAATATTTTCCAATATACTTAAAACACTAGAGCCACATAGGTAAAACAAATAGCATTTGAAAGAGCTTATTCTAGATATGTAATAGACAAGATATTGCTCACTGTAATAAATTAATTTCTTTGTTATGCAAAACCCCTCAACCAGAACTTCATAAAGAAATGTGAAGTGGTGTGAAAATGATCTTACCTCATATTCAAAGTCCTCTGTTCTGTCTGCATCAGCAGGTAAGCTGGAAATATACTCATTGTCCTCATAAAATTCATGCCCCATTGGATGTAGAGAATGGCAGCTAAGGGGAATGAATTAATATGATAGGAATAGATTAAAAGGGTTGTTTTCAAGATTAAAACTGATTTTAGAATTTCTCTTTAGTTCGCTCTGCTTTGGAATAAGACCTGTAGTGATCTAGTCTTTAAATAAACTACAGCTCAGAGAAAGTAATCTCTTTTTATTCTCCCTGTACCTGAAGTCCACCAATTTGCAATTTCTGAGAGAATGCTAGGAATAAGGGCCCGTGGTCAGAGCTGTATTCTGTGGAGAGACTGATGTGAAATCTCTGACAGTCCATGGTGCTTTATTGATACTTTCTGGCCTGCTTCCATTCCACCAAATGTAACAAGCTCCACATGTGTGTGTGTGGCATTTGAGATTGCAGTCTACTGAAGAGGGGTATTTTGTCATAAAACACTACTGATTTCATAATCCACAGCTGTGAACTATTTTTTGAAAACCATTTTCAAAAGCACATATTTTCAGACTCTAAAATGTGCTCACCTTGTCCCCTCCTCTCTTTCTTAAGATACCTCCTTTTTCATTCTCCCTCATAACACACATTTTCCCCTCTGTGATCAAGGACATATACACAAATATTAAAGAGCATTCATGGCAACCAATCCCTGGAAACTCCTATAAGACGCAAGATTTCATAATCCCTTTCGAAAATTCTCAGTGACAGAGAGAGCAGATTAAACTAACGAAATGAGGGGATATGAGGCATAGCACATGGGCACATGGTTTTTACGTATTGTAACTTTTAGGAAATATTTTAAATAGTTTGTAAATGTGTCATTCAATTTATTATGTTCTGATATAAAGACTATATATTATATCATATGAAGACTAAGTATAGTTTAACAGCAAAGGGCATAAGGCCTTTTCTATATCTAAAAGACACCAAAAAAGCCTAAATACAATCAATAAGTTGTAGTAGATAAGACCTCCAAGCCCTGCCAGTGTGGCCCTTATTGAAAACTTGGAGATAGCAGTATCAATTAGTTCCCTGCTCCCTTGCTGAAAGCAAGAGACCTGTTCTCATGCCCTCATACTATAGTCAGCATAAATATTCTACCAGCCTTTCCTCACTGCCGTCTAGGGCTGTCAGTTCCATATAGGGCTCACTAGTGTAGGCCAGAATCGTAAAAGTAATGAAGGCAGCACCTTGCCTGGTGTCTACCAGATAAATCTCCGTGCTTATATCTGAACTGGCTCTGCACATCTCATTTGGGCTGTTGAAAAATTGAAGCCAGCTGCTTTGGACATCTGATGTGTTTACCTTGCCTTTCAGATAGTAAGAAGGAAGGAACACTTTATTCACTCAACATTTATTCAGTGCCTACCAGATGCCAGGCCAAGTGCTAGAAAGACATTGGTGCACAAAATCCAATTCTGCCCTATTAATTGGGGAAAGCAGCAAAGTGGGAATTTTAATACAGTGCAATAATTAAGGGGAAAATATAGGAGCCTTGGGAGCACATGGTAGGGGTGGACCCACTGCAGCCCTAGGAGGTTTTCTATAAAAGATTGTCACTAAGCTAAGGTCTGCAGGACCTAGGAAGAGGAGCATGATGCACTGGCTAAGGGAGTAGGTATTGAGGTCAGACCTCTTAGGCCTAGAAGCCTGGCCCTGTCACTTTTTTTGCTATGTGATCTTGTCCATGTATTTAATATCTGTTCCTTCATCTTAGACATAGGATGTTGATAATATAATGCACTCCTTCATAAAACTAAATGAGTCAATAAATGCAAAACTTTTGGAATAACACTGAAAGCATGTTAGGTTAGCTAATAAAAGCTAGCTATTATTATGCATTCAAGGAGGTATTTATTGGATGGCTACTATGTTTTAGGCTGTATTAATAAATATATTTGTTTGCTTGCTTTTTGTTCAACTCCCCCTCTAAAATATGAACCCTAGAAGGTAGTGACTTTATTTTTGTTCATAGTTTTATGCCTGGCATCTAGTTCCAATGCCTGACACATTCAATTTTTCTGACACAAAGGGCTATTTAAAAGGTAATGATGAATGAATAAAGCGATACCCAAGACAAACAGATCCCCTGCCCTTCTGAATTTGAAGTCTCAAGGAGTGGTTTTCAAAACCTTTCTGCACATTAGAATATATTAGGGGGAGTTTTGAAAAATTCTGATGCCTAAGACTTACTCTAAGAATTCTCATTTAATTGGCCTGAGGGGTGATTCAGGTATAGCTTCTAAAAGTTCCCAGGTGATTCAATTGTACATCCGTGACCCACTGACACAGGCTTATGGGACCCAACTATCAAAGGGCAGGAAAGTGGCATGAATCAGATCTATGTTTTTTACAAAGTAAAGAACAGCTCGGAGTAGGTGATGAAAATGCAGCCTAAAGAGACCATTGCTCTGGCAAACGCTGTTTGAATATTTACTAGAAAGCTCACAGAACACAGTGAATCGGGCAAACACACTTCTAAAGCTGTGCAAGTAGGATAATTTGAATAAAATCTCTCTGGCTTCCTTTAAATTAGGCAAAGATCAAGAGGAAGTATTCCTTGATTAGCTCTTTATTTGATAGCACTATACTTACTCTCTGACAGCCAAGATCCTTTGTTTATATCTCAATATATTGGGTAATTGCTTTCTTTGGAGAATTGCACTTTAATTAAATCAATTTCCTAGCTTCTCTTTAAAGAAGAGAAATACCAGGAAGAGAGAGAGGTGGCCCACAGAGGAGAATGTGGTGCCAACATGCCACTTCCACATGAGTCTTAGTAAGGTTTCTGGCAGCTTTGGTGAGAAAAGCGGTTTCCCTCACCAGAGTTCATGAGTAGCATGAGGCTTTTGACAGCTAATAATACGAAGATGAACTAATCAGAGCCAGAAATGTTCATGGCACCTCGCAAGTATGATTACCCAGGTGAAGCAGCCACATGGGTCAGGGATAGTAGCTGACAGGGACCGCTGAGAACTAACTGCATATGTAGAAACAGTGGAGACATTTTCCAAACAGAGCTGGGAAACCTGTCTCTGTAACTGTCAATCTGCTAGGGAAACTGCTTCTTTCCCACAACTACTTTACATGACCAATGGAAACCAACAGGGCTTTGGAAGAAATGACAGAAAAATACCTGTCTGAGAGCAGGAATGGACAGATGTCTGGCACTGGAGGGGTAGATGGCCGAAGCTTGGCCAGGGCCATGATGTGTTCGAAGGTGATGTCCGTCTGAGTGCTGGCATTCATGAGCTGCACTTCTGGGGCCGTCCCATAGGCCGGTCTACTCAGAGGTGTTCGCCTTAACACCTGCACCACAATGGGCTCCTTGGCATTTCGAAAAGCTTCCACTGCTTCTTCATGAGTGGCCTTTGAAAGATCCTTCCCATTGACCTACAAACATATAAGGACATTGTTCATCTCAGAGGAAAGATCAGAGAGGCTGTTGTGATAGATTAATAAAAGGTAGGAAGAAAACTTTCAACCAGCTCTGATATGAATTTGGTAATGGAATATTAAATCAGACATTGATATTTACTGAAGTCTTTACCAACACGACAAAGTACCTGAGATTATAACAATAATTACTTCTGTAGTTGTTTATAAAATATGTGGAGCTGGTTGACTAGTAACAGCAGAACTATTAGTAAAGATTTAAAAATTTAAGTAACACATCTGCTTCAGTATAGGGTCACTGAAATCTTCAGATAGATAGAAATGTTAAGTATATACTACTTTTTCATGATCTGTCAATCTCTCGGTGAGATTTTTAATATTTAATCAAGGTCTTATTTGCCTAAAATCCAATTTTTTAAGATTTTGTCAAATTTCCTCCATATTCATAATGTTTTAATCCAAGACTGTGTTATTGCCCATATGCATTTTATCCTAAATCCTCACTGTTCAAAGTGTGGTCTACGAACCAGCAACATCAGTATCACATGAGAGATGATTAGAAATGCAGAATCTCTGGCCCTACCCTGGACCTACTGAATCAGAATTGGAATACTCACAAGATTCAGCTTTATATTTATATTCATTGAAAGAAGCACTGCTCTAGAATTCCTCTGAATGGGTATACTATGTCCCTCTGGATATTCATGTGTTTTAATTTATGCCAATTCATGACTCTCCAAAGGAGCCCTGGACATTACAGAGAAAGGGATGAAGTCTGCCTTTGTCCTCAGTCATCGCTTCTCAACAGGGGAAGAAACCATTGGAATTTGGGAGAGAAAAATTATTCTTTCTGTGGGACTCTCCTATGCCTGCTAACTAAGGGCCAGGAATGTTTCTCGACCTCTGTGGCTCCCAAAACACCTACACACTTTCCCTAACACCCTTGTGGGAGGCAATATAGACCACTCTCAAATAGTTCTCAATTTATTCCCTAAAATAAGTCCTAACAACACAGCCTTTTAGTGGAAGTTGTGTTTTAATAAAAGACTTTAGAATCTTGAAAGAGCTTTATGACTCTCCTCCCAAATGAATCAATACTGCTGGCTTTTGCAAATATGAAGACCTATCTTGCGGCACAACTGTGCCCCATATCCCTGAAATTATACCATTTCTAGACAGCTAACTAAGCCACCTGCCTGTTGGTGAGGCACTGATAACTGTTATGCACCAGCAAACCCTTAGATATCCCTGGGTGTCTAAAAAAGAAGTCACTGAGTCGCAGTTGTAGAGAAACTGCTGACATTCAAATGAGCACATTCTCTTTCCCTGAGTAGACAAGGAATATGTGTGTGCTCAGAGCATGTGTAGGGTGTTTTGGGGTAAATGAGACAATGCCAGGTAGATATTATCACGTCATATAAAGACAGGCTTAATGACCTGGAGGAGCTAATTTACTCAATGGACCCTGAAAGAGTTAATGTGCCTTCAAAAAATGAGCAATTAAGCTTCTTCACCAGCAAAATATGTCCCAGTTCAGTTCTTGCTCTTGAATCACTAGTAAGAAACTCAGGTAGAGATTTGACTAGGTATTTACCAGTGTGAACACGTTCACTGATCTTTGCATTCACTCTCTGATTCTTCTCTCCATGAACTAAACTTGAAAAGTTATCACTGAGTTTTCACTGATACATCTTGGAATATCTGACTTGCAGCACAGGAGATTATGTGGACATGAGACATCGATGGGCATCATCACACTCATTCCTTTAGCTCCTGCTGTATGACAGGTGCTTGGGCTGGGGCCACTACTGTCTCCCCACAGGACATGTAGACAGCAGATGACAGAAGAAATCCCAGAATGAAAAAGCACAACATAAAATCTAGCCCCTTTTGTTGAATAGTATCATCTCCTATGTTTTACATTGTGGTCAGTATTTGTCAATTCCAGATTGTGGAAGATTATCAGGTGGTAGGTAAGACTGCTCTGTGAGAATCTATGCAGGAGATAAAAACTGCTCTTTTGTCCCCAGCCTTCCTGTTTCATGATGTCCCGTCAGTTTAGTGAAGATCCGTTCCTACAGGGTCCCATACCCTTCCCTCTCTGAAAAGAAATCTCAGTCATACAGTCTGTTATCAATTTATCTATCTATCTATCTATCTATCTATCTATCTATCTATCTATCTATCTATCTATCTGTCTATATATCTATTTTTGAGATGGAGTCTCGCTCTGTTGCCCAGGCTGAAGTGCAGTGGTGTGGTCTCAGCTCACCACAACATCTGCCTCCCAGGTTCAAATGATTCTCCTGCCTCAGCCTCCTGAGTAGCTGGGACTACAAGAGTACCACCATGCCTGGGTAATTTTTGTATTTTCAGTAGGTGCAGGGTTTTGCTATATTGGCCAGGCTGGTCTCAAACTCCTGACCTTATGATCCACTTGCTTCAGCGTCCCAAAGTGCTGAGATTACTGGTGTGAGCTACTGTGTCCAGCTTATCAACTATTTAATATATCTACTGGTACAGTGTCAACATGTTATCTTTTCCTATAAGCCTTGCATCAAGAGGAACCCCTAATAGTGGTGGAATGAAATAAGACTACGTTTTTGAGATATCTTTATGCAATATCTGAAAGTAAAGGGAAAAATTAGTGACCAGGGTTTCTTCCAGTCACACATTAAATTCTACCAATCCACAAAGTGTGTCAATAGGTAGTAGACAGATAAATACCATTCATCTATTTTTTTCCCCAAGACAAGGTACGCAGCCTTACATGTTAATCTCGTCGTGATGTTCAGAATGTTTATTTGCTATAGTGATCTTCGAAGCAAGAACAATTTTTTTAAGTGAGTTTCCTACTGATCGTGATCATGTATTTATGTTACTATAAGCTAAGTAGATTGTTTTTGTAAAATCCAGTATAGTATACATTTTTTTTGCAGAAATATTATAAACATTATTGAAAAGTATTTTAGGCTGTGAAATAATTATTGTAATGTTTAGTATAAGCAAACGATATTAGCATTCATATGGCAAGATCAATGGCTATTGATTATATGACATACACATTCATTTATTTATTATCATGAAATTCATATACAAATTTCAGTCTTTGCTCTAAGAACAATTAAATACGATCTTAAAGAAAAGGACAGTCCCTGTAATCTCAAGATCTGTCTTCCGTATTGGGGAATGCTCTTTTCTTCCAGTTATCATGCAGCTGACCTCTATTTTCAAAAGCTATTTAATATCTCTCAAAGTAAAGAAGTCTGTGACCTTTAAAGGCTCTACCACTACACATGATCCCTTAGAAAATGTAAGCATTGATGCTACTAAACACTTTTTTCACTTCACTTGAAGTTCATCAACATACTGTTAGCCTATCAAAAGGTCACCATTTTATAAATTATGCCTTTCATAAGAAAAAAAAGAATAGCTTAATTGGGATTTTCTAGCAATTGCTTTGCTCAGTTATCATTGGTTGCAGCTAGTGAGAATTATACCGGAAGAATACCTACAGTTAATCCTCTATAAAAAGTTTGTTAACAAGTAATAGCAAAACTTCCTTTTTTCAAGTGATTAGTTTTTAAACCAATAACAGATATTTGGTGCTTCAAATTGCCATGTCCATATTATTCTATTTCTTTAGCACTATATTCTCTCCCTCAATCCCACCTTCCTTTTTTTTCTTCCCTCTTAATCCTTTGTCTCAATCTTAAATTTAGTTTTGTACAGATGACATATTGTCCTTTTGTTTTGTGAGATGAGACTAAAGATGAAGAAACTCTCTATTAAAGGAGTCTCATTTAAAATAGGTAGTTAAGGGTAGATATCCAATATTTTTGAGTGTCCAGTAAAAGGTGGGAAAGTCTTTTGCTAGAGGAATACAGATAAGTTGATTTTCAGGAGAGAAAATAATGCATGAATATGGTTAGGAGCAAAACTGAGGAAAGGGAATGCAAGGTAATTTGATTACTGACAACAGATACCCATGTGTTATGGGGTTTGAGTTTGCATGCAAAAGGATTTTAAGAAAGATCAAAATTTGATTTAAGACACCACAGGAAAAGAGCCTTTTTCCAAAAGCGCTGTTAAATGGGATGATTGAGAGGATACGGTGTCATAATCAACACAAGTAGTATATGTAATAATTTCCTCTATTGCCATGACTTGTGGCATTTTGATAGCTGTGGCCCAAACTGATTTGGTTCCATCGTAACCAGGCAACTAGAGTACAACTGAAAAGATTTGAGTGATTGATATTTGATAAGAGGCTAGTAGTCCCAGAGTGGGAAGACTAGACTCTGACATGATGATTAAGCCACCTGACTTGAGATAAATGAAAAAAGCCAACACATTACTCAACAAGAGGCCATCAGAATTGGTGACAGCAAAAAAAAAAAAAAAAAAAAAAAAAAAAGAAGAAGGACGATGCCAATTAGAGAAATTCTAGGATAAATAGTGACATGTAATTGTCCAGAGACAAACTAAATGTCACATTAGAAAAAAGGGGAGGGAGTAGTTTTAATCATATCAAATTTGAAGTAGTTATAAGAAATATATTCAAATGAACTAACAAGTAAATGTATGACAGGAGACTACAAGAAAAATTGATCCTAGGAAACCATTTTCTGAGGTCTTCCCCTCACCCCTGCACTTATCAATTCAGTTCAACAAGGACAAATATTCTTAAAGATTAGATATTTAAATGATAGCTTGTAATAAACACATATACATTTTTAGAGATATAAAAATAATAATCTTGTTTTTAAAAATTTATTATTTCCCATTATATTGATAGCATAATCTTAAGTGGATAAAGAAAAAGCAATCACTTTTCAGTGATCAACGCAAAAGATGTGCGAATGCATTTGTTGTGGCAGATGGGCTAATTAATCCATCCGCTAAGTAAAGAAGATAGCTTTTCATATGTAAGCCATATCATAGTAATGTTTGATGAAGCCTCTGTTTAATGAATAATAACCCTTTTGGATATACTG